TTAAAGTGATGAAGATGTTTTAAAGTTCTCAACATCTGACTTGAGGTCTTCGCACAGTTTTCACTTTAACATAAACTTTGATTTTTAAACCATCAAATTCTGATCTACCATCGGACCCGTCATCCGGACCCGTCATCCGGACCCGTCATCCGGACCCGGGCGGTTCTGGAGCTGGACTGGACTCTAAACTTCTAAACTCAGTCTGAACATTCACAGACGTCAAAGATGTGAGCAGAGGTGTTGAGAGGAGCTCGGAGAAGTTCTCCTCAAACAGCAACAATGGAGACGAGTCTGAAAACAGGCGGACGCTGTCATTAAAGGGGCGGGGCCACACCCAGCCCTTCCTGTACCTCTGTACACCTTTTCAACAACATTCCACCCACATTATGTTCACCACACATGGGATAAATATAACACACACACACACACACACACACACACACACACACACACACAGGAAGGGAAAGTCTCTCCCCCGGCGCTCCGTGTGTGCACTCCTGTAAACGTTCCCTCCGGGCAGGTACGCCGCACACACAGGTACAGTTCCTGTGTTGTCTTTCTTCTCTCTCTGTCTCCTCGGATCCGGGAATGATTAACCCTTTCTGTACCCGCCACCGCTCTGACTGTGTGGTCTGAAGGGGCGGAGCCTCAGTGCTGATTGATGGGAGCCGTCTTTACCTTTGTTAGGACCTGTTTCTACACCGCAGGTCTCCACCATCACCTTTTATTCTGTAAATCAGTGACTCAGAGATGGAGGACAGAGAGAGGGAGGAGGAGGAGGTGAGGAGGAGGAGGTGGCGAGGAGGAGAAGAAGAAACTCCAAATGGTGTGTCTGATTTAAGAAAGCACTCCATGTTTGTTCTTCAGGTTTTTAACTCTGCTGTTTCCATCTGTCCTCCTCCATCACCTCCTCCTCCTCCTCCTCCTGCTCCCCCTCCCCTCAGATCTCCACCCCCCTGACCCCGCTGACCTCCCCCTGACCCTCCCAGACCTGTTGACACCTCCAGCATGCCTGATTCTTCATGGGAACCAGCAGCACATAAACACAGGGTCAGAGCAGTAACAGAGGGGTGAAGGTCTGTGGAGATGATGGTCACCACCACCTCCTGGAAACAAACTCCATGTTCCTCCTCTGATACCTGCAGACTCTGACCTGATTCCTGACGTGAAAATAGAAAAGGTTTTTTTTCAGGAATAAATCTAAAATAAAAGTGAAATAAAATATTTTTAAAAAGGAGGTTTTAGTTCAGTGAAACTCTGAACGTCCAACAGTGTCTCCTCACATGTCTGATCATCATGAACATTAACATCATTTATGTATTTTAAATAAAACTATAGACACTGATGTTTTTCACCTCCTCCTCCTCCTCCTCCTCCTCCTCCTGACTGCAGGAGAGCAGCAGAACCTCCTCACAGGTTGGACTCTCTCTGACGGAGGTTTAATACCAACGCTGAGTTGAAGAGTTCAGACACTCCACTGCAGATTTTTCATCTCTGCAAAGTTTCACCCTCTCTGCAGCACATGGGGGGGGGGCATCTTTATCTCACACACACACACGCACACACACACACACACACACACACACACACACACACACACACACACACACACACACACACACACACACACACTTTTCCTCGGTTTCTCTCTCTCTGCTCTCCTCCCTCTGATTTAGCTCTCTCCTCCTGAAGCACATCTCCATTTCAAACTCTTTCTCTCTCTCTCCCTCTCCCCCCTCTCTCCCTCCCTCTCCCCCCTCTCTTTGACAGTTATTACTCCTGTCTATCAGCTCTGATGGATTCGGTCGGTCCTCTCCTCTCTGTCTCCTCGTCCTCATTCTCACCCTCTCAGCTGAAGATAATGAGAATCTGCAGCAAAACGCAGCGAGCAATTCTCACCGCCATCACTCCAACATGAGCTCGCCTCACTCTCTCTCTCTCTCTCCCCCTCTTTCTCTCTCTCTCTCTCTACCCCCCCCCCCCCCCCAGTCTATCAGGTCTGTTTGATTCCTGCGGTTTTGTCGTCTGTCTGAAGGAGGAGTTTAAACTTCCATCTTCTGCAGATTCTGCTGCATCATCACACCAGGAGAGGAGGACCAAAGGGAGTGATGGTCACAGCATGAACACACACACACACACACACACACACACACACACACACACACACACACACACACACACACAGGACTAAATGGCATTATCTCTGCTTCCCCCTCTTCTCTTCTCTTCTCCTCTCTTCTCCTCCTCTCTCCTCCTAATCCCTGCTCAGCTCTTGGACTCTGACAAAGGAGCGGCTCCATGAAGCGGCTCCTGCTGACCTCCATGGTAACCCCCCCCCCCCATCTCTCCCATCAATGTTTTCCCTGAACCCGGGCCGACCCCTCCAACCCCCGAAAACCTCTTATCTGCAGAGACCTTCAGTGACCCTAACCCCCTAACCCTGCAGGAGTTTCTCTTTCATACCACTGTTAGAGGAGGTGGTGATGATGATGATGATGATGATGATGATGATGATGATGATGATGATGATGATGATGATGATGATAAGCGCTCTGAGCTCTTGGTCACATCCATGTTTTTTAGTTTAAACCTGAACCTCTCAGAGATACTCTGTCACGGGGTGCCGCAGCTCAAGGAAGAACATTTATGATCATTTCTTCATCATTTCCTTGAAGTAATAATCACCATATTAATCATTTTACAGACGCTGTAGTTCTTCTGTCTTAGCGTCTCGGTCTGATTGTATTTCCATGAAGAAATGATCATAAATGTTCTTCCTTGAGCTGCGGCACCCCGCTGTAGTCCGTAATGGACTGGCCTGAGGTCTCTTTACAAACAAGCGTCTGCTGGAAGAGAGTAGGTGAGTTGTGTTTAGTCTCTTTGCTAAAGAAATGAGTCAAAGTTAAAAAGATGTTTGGTGTCTAGTACTATGGCTGTGACCCTATATGTACTAACCTCAGTAGATTATGGTGTAGTTCCGTTCAGTAACAGAACCTCATTGGAAAATTAGCTGATTTAACTTTACTGTGCTCTTGTTCAAATATATTAACTCAACAGCACATAAATCCATACCTGTTAACAAAATCATGATTTTATTGATAATTCGGCTCAATAAAAACACCTTTACCTTTTCATTTTACTACAGTAGAAGTTTATTGGCCCAGCTTATAGACTACAGAAGTGGAGAAACGCCCCCGCTTAAGTTTGTGTTTTCTTAGGAGTTAGAACAACTCTGAATATAGTACTATGTCTGTGACCCTATATGTCCTGTTGATGAAGTTAGGTGCTGTTCTGAGCATTATTTGTGGCTATAGAGTGGCGTTTTGGTTGGGGGCGTGGCTCTCTGTATTTCTATCCTGCGGTCGTTACTAAAGTTGGTTTAACTAGAGAAGGAAGCGGTCGACAACATTCATCTCTGGAGGGGGGGTCTAACTCGGTGTTACGGTGGGTTTGACTCTAAATTAAGTCTACGACAGAATATCCCTTTAAATCTGTGAAGGTTTCTCCTTCAGATGGGAGGAGTTAGTCACTTAAACTAACTCCTAAGTCTGTCACACAGGTGTGAGACTAACACACACACACACACACACACACACACACACACAGTTTAACCGTCCACATTAACACCAGCCAACAGCAGGCTAATAAAGTGATTGTGTGGAGCTCGTATTTCCCTCTGTCCTGTGGACACACTGGACACACAGACACAAACACACACACACACACTGTGTTTGCCTGGAGTTCACTGCCACGTCCACCCCCCCCACACACACACACACAAACACACACACACACTAACTGTCCAGCTGACACTTTTACTGGTTTACAGCCTCTGTCTGTCCTGCTAACAGAGTTTTCCTGATGGGGATCAGCCTGCAGCTCCTCCACACACACAAACACACGTAAACACACACACACACACACTCACTCCGCCCACCATCAGCAGGTTTTGGTGAGGGTCTTGTTTTGTGGGTCATTACTGTCAGTGAAAACTCCAAACAGGATTTCAGAGTCTGGACTTTAATCCATCCGAGCAGGAAACAGGATACAGGTGTGTGTGTGTGTGTGTGTGTGTGTGTGTGTGTGTGTGTGTGGAGGGGGGGTGTACCTGCGCAGGTATCTGTCCCTCTACCTGAGCTGAAGAATGTGAGCACGCTCAGTCTGTCCCTCTGCAGCTCAGGTAAACACCTGAGTGTCTGCAGTAACAATAGTCGTGTTGTTCCAGTGAGACTCTTTAGTTACACCTGCACAGGTAAACACGGACAACACACACACACACACACACACACACACACACACTGATACACACACACACTGATACACACACACTGACACACACACACACACACTAATACACACACACACTGATACACACACACACACACACACTGATACACTGTGGCTGCAGGGGGGGGTCATTATGACTGAGGGGGCGGGGCCAACACTAACACACAGGTGAGAGAGCTGTGAGCTGACTCTGGATCAGGTGTCGGCCCAGGTTCTCTGCGCCCCCCTGGCTGGTCATGTGACCCCTCAGGTCCGACCACTTAATCTGCGGTCACATGACTTTACCGCCGCTCGCCTCTGAAGTAAATTATGAACAAATCCTCTTAGAGCTTTAAAAACTCTCTCTCTGTGCAGCGTGAGCAAGGGTCTGAGGGCGAGCGAGGGTCTGAGGGCGAGCGAGGGTCTGAGGCCGCCGACTCGGAGCCAAACGGTCTGAGACTCAACAACAAAAACACTGAGAGGACAGTCAGGCAGGATCCCTGACCTGAGGGGCAGAGGGCGTGTGTGTGTGTGTGTGTGTGTGTGTGTGCGTGTGTGTGTGTGTGCGTGTGTGTGTGTGTGTGAGTGAGAGCGGGGGTCGTCTCTAAAGACGTGATGCTCTGTTGTTAGCCAAACTTATAATTAGCATGCTGATTAAAGCGCGGGAACAAAGACTGGTATGTGAGCGAGCATCCATCACAACAGCGCTAATTAGCTCGTCTGTGAGCGGACGG